TTACTATAGCTCAATCATGCTTAATTTTATATTTGCTCGAGTAAAATAAGTTTTTGGAGATTTAAATGCCATTATGGGAATCAGTGTCGAGAAAAACCGGTTGAAGTTTTTTTTGATTTATGGTCTAATTTGCAGCCAAAAAATTGAGCATGTAGGCTTATCTAAGCTGAATTTAAGCCGGGGAAACTTAATTTTGATCGAGTAATGTTAGCTTCTGGGATTTTTTAGCGCCGTTTTTGGAATCAAAATATTCAAGAAAATTTTAAAAATTCTGCAAGAAAACCCGGTTTGAATTTTTTGATTTTTGGTCTATTTTCTAGCTAATAAGGTTTGCATGCAGGTTTTTTTAAGCCGTGAAAACTTGGTTTTATTCGATTAAACTTAGTTTTTGAAAAAAAATAAGAAATTTTTGTAAACATTTTTCTTTTTTTAAGTCATTTGTCTACAAAAACTGTGTTCCGATTGGCTTGTTCGACTATAACTGTCGATTGTGCCACACAGAAGAAAGGACATGAATTGTTCTATCTTTGTTTACAATTGGTTTTGATATGGGAAGTAGGTGTATGGAAATCAAGTTACGATATCAGGTGTAATTGTACCGCTTAAAGCTTGTTGCACGGTTATCAGTTTGCATACAGTTGCGTAGGTGGTCAATGGAGTTCGGACAAGACACGGAGAGCTGCTTGTAAGACCGTTTGCAATTTGATCAAGAAAGGTTTGCGGCGTGGGATCAAATTGGGCGGGCATTGTAATATTTTTCTACGAGATGCCTTGTACGTCACAAGCAACCGGTCCTGGCAGAGTTATCAACCATTATACTTACTGTCGACCCGCAAACTCGCTGCCTGATCGTGTAATTATTCATTCTACATATCGTTGTACCGCAACCACGCTACCTGATGCTGTTATCAACCATTATACATAGTGCTTACCCGAAAACCCGCTGCCCGACAATGTTCTCAAACATTATACATATTGTTGACCCGCTGCCTGATAGTGTTATCAGCCATGAGAAGCCTTGTTGACCGACGCTTGGTGTTCGCAACCATTATGGACATCGTTGACCCGCAAACCCACTGCCTAATAGTGGTTTGCTCAAAGATTGGTACTCATCTCGTATCATCTTTGAGCGAATCAAATATGAGAGTGACTATCCCTTAGAATCTGTTGCTTCGAATCACGCGTGCTATACATGTCCGCTCGGCTTCTGTGTTTTGCTCTTCGAGTACGTAGGCTTTTGCGGGATCCATATTTGGGAGTTCCAAATTTGGTTGCTTTGCAGGATGTTTACTTGAGATTTATTTTTTGTACGTCTTTACCCTTGCGACTTTACCCTTTTCGGGCACAAGGGACGGTAGGACCGGTGCAACAGGTGCACCCACTATATTCGCAATCAATCAGATTCTCCTAGCCTAGGGGACGCTAGGATCCACCCCGGCAGCTTTCGTCCCATAGTGCCCCCTATAGGGGGGACAAGGTCTCGTTAGGAGACAAAAACTAAGGGCTTATTACCCGTTAGGGGATCCGGTCACGTCAAAGATAAGTCTGCACAAAAAATGGTGCGCGAGATTCTAGTTGTTAATTGACCTGTATGGGTTGAAAAGTCATTTGTCGACTCTATTCGTGTGGCTTGTACGGAACCTGTATTTTAAAAGGTTTTACCTTTCGTTTGATTGCCTCAGGGTTGATTGCGAGTAGTTTTTAGATTTTGGGATAAATAATATTAATTTTTGGTCAGTCTTGCAGTGTTTTTGTAATACAATACACGATTATGCCGAAATTGGAATCTATCTTAACTTTTAGATTTTACGCTTTCTGGGCACAAGGGGCGCTAAGACTGGTGCACCAGGTGCAACCACTGCATTCGCAGTCAATCATTTTATCTTGGGCAAGTAACTGCTAGGGGCCGCCTCGGGCAGCCTTTGTCACTTAGTGCTCCCTATAAGGGGGGCGAGGTTTCGTTAGGAGACAAAAATGAAGGGCTTATAACCCGTCAGGGGATCCGGCCACGTCAAGGATAAGTGTGCACAAAAAATGATGCTTGAGATTCTCTTTGCTGTTATTTGACCAATCTGGAAAATGCATTATTGGACCCCATTGTTGAAAACTCATTGGTGAACGCTGTTTCTGTGTGGCTCGTTCGGAGTCTGTCTTAGAAAAGGTAGTCCCTCTGGTTTGATGGCTTCAAAGTTGATTGCGAGTAGCTCTAATATTTTAGCAAAAATATTCCCTAATTTCGGTCATAGTCCTGAATTGTATTTATAATACAATACAGGATTCTGCCTAAATTGGAAATTTTTATTCCTAATTCCATAGACTACTGGTCAGTGGCTACTCCGCTAGGTCGACGATAGTGGTTTGCCCAAAGAGGTTGGCACTCATCTCTTGTCATCCTTGACGGAATCAAATATGAGAGTGGTCATCCTTTAGAATCTAGTGCTTCGAATCACGCGTGCTATACATGTCCGCTCCGCTTCTGTGTTTTGCTATTCGAGTACGTAGGTTTTTGCGAGATCCATTTTTGGGAGTTCCAAATTTGGTTGCTTTGCAGGATGTTTACTTGAGATTTATTTTTTGTACGTCTTTACCCTTGCGATTTTGCCCTTTCTAGGCACAAGGGGCGGTAGGCCCGGTGCAAGAAGTGCACCCACTGCATTCGCAGTCAATCAAGCTCTCTTGGCCTAGAGTCCGCCAGGGTTCACCCACGGCAGCCTAATTTCCATAGTGCCCCCTATTAGGGGAAAAATCTTGTTAGGAGACAAGAACTGAAGGCTTATAACACGTTAGGGGATTCGGCTACGTCAAGGATAAGTGTGCACAAAAAACGTGCGCGAGATTCTCTTTGTTGTTTATTGACCAATGTAGAAAATTACAATCTTGCACCTCAGTGTTGATAAGTCATTTGTTGCCGCTCTTCCTGTGTGTTTGATGGCTTCAAAGTTGATTGCGAGTAGCTCTAATATTTTAGGAAAAATTTTCCCTAATTTCGGTCATAGTCACAAATTGTATTTATAATACAATACAGGATTCTGCCTAAAATTGGAAATTTTTATTCCTAATTCCATAGACTACTGGTCAGTGGCTACTCCGCTAGGTCGACGACAGTGGTTTGCCCAAAGAGGTTGGCACTCATCTCTTGTCATCCTTGAGGGAATCAAATATCAGAGTGGTCATCCTTTAGAATCTAGTGCTTCGAATCACGCGTGCTATACATGTCCGCTCGGCTTTTGTGTTTTGCTCTTCGAGTACGTAGGCTTTTGCGAGATCCATATTTGGGAGTTCCAAATTTGGTTGCTTTGCAGGATGTTTACTTGAGATTTATTTTTTGTACGTCTTTACCCTTGCGATTTTGCCCTTTCTAGGCACAAGGGGCGGTAGGCCCGGTGCAAGAGGTGCACCCACTGCATTCGCAGTCAATCAAGCTCTCTTGGCCTAGAGTCCGCCAGGGTTCACCCGCGGCAGCTTTATTTCCATAGTGCCCCCTATTAGGGGAAAAAATCTTGTTAGGAGACAAGAACTGAAGGCTTATAACCCGTTAGGGGATTCGGCTACGTCAAGGATAAATGTGCACAAAAAACGTGCGCGAGATTCTCTTTGTTGTTTATTGACCTATGTGGAAAAGTAAAATCTTGCACCTCAGTGTTGATAAGTCATTTTTCGCCGCTCTTCCTTGTGTTGCTCGTTCGGAGCCTGTCTTTTAAAAAGTAGTCCCTCTCGTTTGATTGCCTGAAGCTGGATTGAAAATAATGTTACCATTTCGGGATATTTAATTTCAATTTTTGGTCCTTGTCTTACATTAGATTTCTAATACAATGTTCGATTATGCCTTCAAACAGAAAAATTTATCCTAAATTCCAAACAACTACTGCCATAATCGATCAGATAGGGGTTCGCCCTAAGCTTGGCACTCATCTCTTATCATCCTTGAGAGAATCACATATGAGAGTGGTCATCCTTTAGAAACTGTTGTGCTTCGGGTAACTCGTGCGCAAGGTGTCCGCTCCGCTTCTTAGGTGTGCTCTTTGAGTGTGTGGGTTTTTCGTCAGGTGTGTTTCTGAAGCGTTTGTTTTTTTTCTGACGAAAGAGATTTGATGAAATTTGTCGAAGTTGAATATCATCTGAGCTACACCAGGTCGCAAGTAAGTCTAATTCTGATTGTAGTGAGGAAGCACTTCCAAGCTGGCATATTGATATCATCGGCAAGTATAAAAGGTATAGAATTGACGCTGTCGTTCATGTCGAAAACATAAGAAAGATACAACAGATGCCCGAGAATAGACCCTTGTGTGGATCTGCTGGTTATGAAAAGGCAGAATGATTTACTCTGTCCAACTTGAACGTGTATTGTCTTCGGTCATTGAGGTAACTTTTGATAATGAAGAGTAGGCGCCCTCAGACTCCGATACGCTGCAACTTTTTTTAAACTCATGATTTAGTTTTTCAAACGCCTTTGAGAAGTCGAAGTGGTAAACTGCTTCGATTGCAGCATCAGGATCTTCAATTGTTTTGGAAATTGCGTCAAGATAGCTAAGAAGTTGGGTTATGGGGGATCAGCGCTTTTAAAAAATGAATGATGTTTTGGAAGACACTTTTTTTTGAAGATCTTTGAGATAATGTTCAGTAGCGTGATAGGTCGATATTTAGCAAAATCCGTTTTCGAACCTTTCTGAAAAAATTGCGGTAACCTTGCCAACTTTCCACTCTTCTGGTAAGACACCAGTTTGTTGATTTTTGCGGAACAACTAGCTGATCGACTTGGAAAGCTGCATTGTTTTGTTGTAACAGTTTGGTAAGTTTTCTTTGGATGCTAATTTCACATTCTATTGTCTGTGCATCCTTTTATTTCAAAACTAGCCTGATTAATTTTGGTCGATCTTGTTTTTCCGACACGTTTTTTGAGCATTTATTGACTATTTTTTAAGCATTTAAATAGAAGAACGGCAGAAGATACCGAAACGTTTTTTAAACGAGCTAATTTTTACCGATTTTTACAGATCGTTATGGAAGAAGATACTGATGCCAATGATCATCAGAAACTTATCAATGCTTTCTCTCAAAAGAATAGGAAGGACGTTAGAAGAGAATTAGGAACTACCGGTGAAATCTCGGCTATTGGTGCGCCTACGGCGGCGAATTTTTTATCCTTATCTCAACTGGTCAACTCGTCTGTGAATGTTAAGAAGAGTAAAAATGTAACTTTAAGGCTGAACAAATCTGGAAAAGGAAAGACATTGAAGGCCTAGCCCAATTCAGCTAAAGCCGTAGCAGCCGAAAGAAATGTTGATTTTTCGGCTGTAACGAACCAGGTTTCAGAATGGGAGCCTTTGGTAAAATCTAATCGACAAGCCGAAAAGTTGCTATTTCCCCTTGACAAAGAACCTTTGACACATTTCGCAACAGCTTCTGATATTTCTAAACGCGCAGCTCAGAACCCGTCGACCTTAGAGCAGCAAATTTATGCGACTCTTAAAGCGGCTGGATGCGAAGCGCCGAGCAAGGAAACAGGTTTGACTGCTAAAGAAACCGCATCATTAGATAAGCTGGACTATAATGAAGCGATGCAGCGCTTGAAGGAGCTGAGAAGACACAGGATACTTACCGGACAGCAACTTGCTAGATTCAAGCGCGAAAAATCTGTCAAAAGTAAGAAATTCAAAAGACTGAAAACACGATATAAAATGGAGAAAATGCAGGATGAATTGACTTCAAAAGGTCTCAGCTCAACGTTACGTGAACGACGAATAATCGAACGCACAACACTCAGACACAGGGTTACCGGAAAGTGGGATAGGAAATTGGCTCACTATGCGAAGCATGAGAAAAGTACCCAAGATGAGCTTGAGAGCAAAAGGAGAATGAATAAATCACTGACTGTCAAACAAGACGACGAAGAGATGAGTGTGGATGAGAGCGATGAATCCGAAGATGAAGAATGGCAAGTAGTGACAAACAAACGAGGACCAAAGCAAACATCCAATCCCGATTCAGAGGAAGCATCTGGCAGCGACAGTGAGCCCCTGGTTGATGACGTTGAAACAGAGGAAGTGATTGAGTTTCGGAAGGATATAAAGGACAACGGAGAAACACCACTAGAAATTGGAGGCGGAATCAAGCGCAAGTTTAAATCAGTCCAAAACCAGCTAAATATCAATCCGTCTAGTTTTTTGACCTCCACGTCGCGATCATCTGATGGGAATCGTGATATTTTTCTAGCAACTTCTGTCAATACATCTGCTATTCACGAAGCATTTGAAGACGACGAAGATTTGATCGAAGAAATGCAGGTTGAAGAGGACAAGTCTGAAAAAGAGGAAAATATTTGTGATTTTGGCTGGGGAAGTTGGACTGGTCCTGGGTTATCCACAACAAAAGAAGCTAAACTGAAAGAGTCAAAAAGTAAAAAAGATGACAAGGCTATGAAAAAAAATCTGCCAATGGGCTATGTTGTTTTTAATAATGTACAAAACGAGAAGCTAGCAGAACACCAACTGAAAGTAAGAGATGTTCCATTTGGGTACAAGAAATCAGAAGCTTTTGAGAGTAGTATGAGGCAACCTATTGGCCCGGACTTCAACACTTCAGCCTCATTTAAGTCACTGATTGAACCGAGGATCCGAAAGAAGGTAGGCGTTGCAATTGAACCAATGGCACGAGAAGATGATAAGAAAGAGTCAAAATTTACTTTTTGATTTTGCAATAGATCTTTTTGCTTTACTGGTATTTGCCTAAATTGTAATTCCATGAAACTGAGTATTAAAAAGAAGAAGTTCATTTTTGTTGCTTTTCAAGCTGCAAAAAGATTCCAGCTTGCAAATTTTTGCGACTTACTGTTTTTGAGAAAAGGATGCTGTTTTTTGTTCCGTAGTGGCCTACTATATCATGCTCTATACGGGAAGAGCAGAAAGGTGTTTGCTTATGAACATTGGAGTTTTATTTATACCCCAATAGTCAGACCCCTTGAATTCATTTCTTGGAGGAAAAAGGTAATACTACTGAAATATTTTGCCACTTTTAGTACATAACCTACCCAAAGAAGCAGTAGTGATGTTACTGGTTCTATACCTTTAAGTTGAAAAGTATCTCTGGTTTTAGGCCTACCATGATCCGTACGCTTTGCTTGAGAGTGAAGAAATATTTCTCAGCTCAAATATATTATTATTGCTTTTATTGCAAATTCGCGGTACACCGCAGGGGTTGAACCCTTAAAAAAAATAAACGAGTTAATACAAGATGTCACAGCACCTGGAGCACATGCACGCATATCTCCAGGCACATATGCGATCAATAACATAACTGTTGTCGAAGTATTATGAAAATAACCTCAAGAATCTTGGTTTTAGTCCGCTGCTGGTTAAAATATTCAAAATGTTGAAAAGTCTTGCAGTTCGATACCATAATTTTCCTTGAAGTCTTTGAGTTTAAGTGGCAGTAAGGAGAAGACCTGCATCGATGAGCCACGTGTATCGTAAGTTGGAGAATACCATGATAAGTAACAATCCCCAGGCAGGTCGTATCCATTGTTTAGTATCTTAGACAGTGTCAGAAGGTCATGAATCTGCATGTTGAGCGATGAAGGTAATGTACTTGACGATAACCCGGTGTTATGCGATCAATAGGGACATTGATGGAGACTTGTCCGGGGAGTATGTGCCATTCTGCCAGATGACACAGCACAACCTTCCGGCGACGTAAAAAAGGACGGCTAAAGGCCTTATGAACAAAAAAAATGTTGCGAAGGAGGGTCAGAATGTTCTGGAATTTTTAATTTTAAATATTCGATTGAAGAGTGAACATTTCTGAGAAATAGAAAAAAGACGGCCATTTTGAATAAAAAAGACGAAAAAAGAACAACGACAGATATTGTGAAGAACAGTCGTATCAGAGACGAAAAAATACGAAGCCTCTTATCGTGGCGATAACACACGATAAGAACCTTAGCGACGGAAATTTGTGGAGAAGGAGGCTTCAGTGGGGGAAGAAATATACCACGGGACCCTCCCGGGACACGAAATATAAGAGATAAGAGTGTTATCTCAAGAATATTACGGGAGCGGAGGCTTGGCCCCCCAGAGACTGTCTATGTGAAGGGACTGTATAGACTGACTGTATAGCTGCTATAATGTCATAGATCTTAATTAACACCGTTATTGTTTAATATTTCAGAGCATGAGTAGCTAGAAAAAGGAAAGGGTCAATCCATCTCCAATGGATTTAATCAGGCATTTCGGGTTCGGGTTCGGGTTTTCGGGTATCGGGTCGGGTTTTCGGGTTTTGAGACAAATTTCGGGTTTCGGGTCGGGTTTCGGGTTCAACAAATTTTCGGGTTCGGGTTCGGGTATTCAATTATGTCGGATTTCTAAAACCCGACTTTTGTTTACTGTTTTCGGTTTCGACAAAAACTTTCCCAATTTTTCTTTTGTTTGAGGTTTTTTACTGAAGAGAAAGTTACACTCTTAAAACGCATCAAATTTATTGCGTCAACGTTCATACCATTTAATCTACCTGAAAATCGGGCATGTCGGGTATCGGGTCGGGTAATCGGGTTTTGAGATCTTTTTCGGGTTTCGGGCCGGGTTTCGGGTTTGAAATGAATGTCGGGTTCGGGTTCGGGTTTGAAGAAACCGTCGGGTTCGGGTTCGGGTTTTAGCTTATCGGGTAATCGGGTTTCGGGTTTGAAAAATGTCGGGTCCCGAAATGCCTGGATTTAATATAGAACTGTCACACAAAAACATATTAAAATAGGTTGTTTGAGCCGTGTTTTTAATGACAATCATGTAGTCTGAGGATCCGAGACTCAGCTATGTGGTTGTGTTCGCATGTAAACGAAAGCTGATCAAAAGCATGTAAACCACAATTCAATCGAAATTTTAAAAATAAAAATTCTAGAATATTCCAACCCTCCTTCGCAATACTTTTTCGTTCCTAAGGCCTTTATTCGTTTTTTCTCGTGTCGCCGGAAGGTTGCGCTGTGCCATCTGGCAGAATGGCACACGATAAAAATCCAGAGTCTTGAATCTAGAGTCTTAGTTACTTTATTGAATTTGCTGAATGAATGATTTTGCTTGAATCTAGAGTCGTGTCGGTAATACTGACACGACTCGGTATGTGAATACTCAATTTAATTTCTTGAGTTCATTTTATGTGATTATGTTGAGATAAGGCGAGTTTTAGGTTGATCCATCTGAAATGTATCAAAGGTCCGCTGTCTGATAGAAACTAACGGTATTCGACCCTGTTTTCAATGGCGTTCGCTTGCTTTAGGTATTTAGAGACCTAACCATGGGGATGTTCTTATTTCTAGAGTGTGGGGGGGGGGCTATTTTGTTAGTAGCTTTTAAGTTGTAACACGATTTGTAGTCTCATGTTTTAAACGAATCGAATTGGCTCCGACTGAATGAGGTGTAAAAGCACAAGCACAAGAGATAGTGTCCCTGGCCCTTGAGCCAATGGTTATAGGGCCTGTTTTTCTTAACCTCATATGTGACATAAGTAGGCGACTGTTACATTATTGCTCATCATTTTGCAATTAAAGTTTATTTTTTAAGAAGTGATTGTGGTCGTGCAGAAGCTGGATAGGGCCCATACCAGCCTTAAATAAATACACCAATAAACAATATAATTACATCAATGAAAAATAAAAAAGATACAAAGTTCTACCACTATCTAAACCCCTTCCGCAAATGTCAACGCCTCTCAAGATCTCGAGCTGAAAAAAGCTAATAAACAGCAAGCCCGATGCGGGAAAAATTGTTATTTAAGCACCCAAAAAGAGCAGAAGGATAAACCCCAAACCAGAAAAATGTCGATACTTTTTCATAACAGTTCAATGAATTCAAACGAGAAGTTTTCTTAATCTGGTTGACTTAATTTTGGACACTGAAAACAAAAGTTACTTTTGTTGACTGCGAGTATCTATTGATTTTTCTCTGCGATTAATCTCTCAGTATGTGTCCTTACATTGTTTGACTTTTCAGTAAAAATGCCGCGCCAAGCAGTGTCTCTGAACAACCTGCTTGAGTTGCAAAATAAGATAAAAAGGGATCCTGTCGGTTATCACGAAGAATTTCTGCAAGCTCACATTCATTTCAAAAGCTCCCTGGACCTTTTTGAACTGGAGCCTAATCAACCTCACAAAACTCTACAGCAGCTTGTACTATTTATTGCCTATATTACACCATGCTACAAGGCAGAACTAGCGGATACTCCAGTATTGTTCAAAACACTTCTGTTAAGACACAAAACGAACATGCATCCTCATCTGAGAATGAGTTTCTGCAAAGCACTCACGTTTTACAGAAACCGCAAAATCATCACGTCACAGTTCGCTACTGAAGTATATTTCGAGTTGTGTACCTGTCAAGATAAGCAACTTCGAAGTTCTATTAAAAAATTGATTAAAGCTGATATCAAAAATATCAACAAAAACCACAAAGACAGGGCACTGAACAGTGAGTTGCAAAACATTGTGTTTTCTAAGTTGAAGGTGCCGAATGTCAGTGTTGCAAAAGTCGCTCTCAACGTTCTTGTAGAAATGTTCAGAAAACGCATTTGGACAGAAGAAAAAGTGGTTAACAGCATTGCGAATTGTTTGTTTTCATCTCATCCCGTCATGTTGGTGAAATCTTTGGCCTTTTTTGTAAAGCGAAATGATGCTGGCGAAATTGATATACCAGATAGTGACAGCGAACACGATGACCTGGAAGAAAAGAAACAAAAACACGAGAAACGTCTCAAAAGTTTGCTACAAGCCAATGTAATCACAAAGAAAACAAAACGGAAAGCACGGAAAATTGAACGAGCAAAAAACTCTTGAAAAAAGAGGAAAAGGAAAATGTTTCTTCCTCAGTAAACATGCCTGCACTGGATCTGATATACGACCCTCAGTCGTTAGCTGAGAAGCTTTTGAAGTTTTTATTAGGTTACAACGGTAAGTTCCACATCAAATTGATGATCATGGACTTGATTTCAAGATTGATTGGCATGCATCAATTAATGGTTCTAAACTTCTATCCGTTCATCCAGAGGTACCTTAACGCACATCAACGTGACGTGACCAAGTGTCTTCTGTTTGCTGCGCAGGCTATCCACGAGGTTGTTCCCAGCGATGTGGTTGAGAAGCTAGTTCGAACTATTTGCTACAATTTCATCACTGACCAGAATGCCGACGAGGTTAGTCTCTCTCTTTCTCTCTCTATCTCTCTCTTTTTCTCTCTCTCCTCTCTTTCTCAATTTTATGATTTAAAGGACTGTTTGCAATAAGGTGCGTGAAAAGTTAAGTAAAAAGAGTGCATAAATTAAGGGCAGCTCGTGGCTGTTCCAGAAGCTCAGAATGTTGCGACCCTGGTTATTATTTCGAAAAAAAATGTTTACAAAAGAAAATGTTTTTTTTTTCAATTGATGATATTTAAATGAAGTATCACATGAAATTATCTTTTCATTTTTGTTACTTAATTCTGCGTGATAATTCCACCTTTGGCCAAACTTCCTTTCAAACTTTGGGGATCGACGTAAAATTCATTTAATTGGCGACGAATGCAGTGCGAAATTGTGCGGTGTTTAGGTTATGGCCGTTGGACTCAATACAGTCCGGGAAATCATTTCACGCTGTCCAAGTGCACTAAACGGGAACCAGGAATTAGTGGACGATCTAGTACAATTCAAACGCCACAGAAACCGAGGAGTAGCCACAGCATCACGATCTATCATTCAGCTGCTTAAAGACATCAATCCGCATTTGTTGAAAAGAAAGGATAGAGGGAAGCCAAGTGAACATATGGCAGGCCTGTTGGAGTCGGAAAAACCGATAATTGCTGGAGCTGAGGTGTTGCTGCAAAGAGAGATAGAGGAAGATAATGAGACGAGTGATCATGAAAATGAAGACGACGAAGAGCAATGGTCTGATGTTGCTTCCGACGCCGAAGCTGAAATGTGTGACAGTGACGACGCTGATGATACTGACGAATGCGAAACGGATGACGAAAGTGAAAAGGAAGGCGGTATTTCTGAAGACCAAGGTGCTTCAGCAGAAGTTCAGAAAAAATTGGACGATGGTACGATTAGAATAGAAAGTTCCGAAGTAGAAACTACAGAAGATCTGTTGAAGTCGAGAATCCTGATAGACGAAGATTTCAAAAAGATCAAAATTGAAACATTGCGTAAGAAAATGCAGTTTGCAAGCAAAGCCAAGAAGCGGAAGATGGAGCAAGCGAGCAAAAAAGGAGGAAAGAAAGTAAAAGTCGATGAAGAAGTGCTAGATATCGGCTCAGATGACTTAGAGAATGAGTCGAGCGAAAGTGAAAATGAGTTGCCAACTTATGAAGCGATTGCAAAAGTGAATATGAAGCGAAGACACGACAAGGATTCAAAGATGGCCTCTGTTTTGGCGGGAAGGGAAGGTCGTGAAAAGTTTGGTCGACCACAGAAAAGACAAAATCCGCATGCAAGCACGACAAACGTTGAAAAGGGCAGAGCGAAAAATTTCATGATGCTACGTCACAAAACGAAAAACAAAAGCCGTACAAGATCATTTGTTGAAAGACAGCAGAAGCTGAGGAACTCGTTGAAAAGGAGGTATCCCAAATGATATAGTTATTGGCTAATAAAATATTTGAAGACCCTTATCTTTAAACGGTGGGGTTGTTAAATTGAAGCAATGCAGTTGGTCTTATCAATTCCTTATCAAATTTTTTATCGTAGCTTTGGTCAGAATTTATTGTGAGATTTGTGAGCAGACGAAGACCGGGTTCTGCAAGTCTTATTTTATATGTTTTTTTGCTTCTGTGTATATGAAGTAAAAATCGCTTCTGTGTTTCAGTTTTTATTTCTTTATCCTTGCGATAAGCAAGGGTATTGCAATCGGGTACTATATATTTTTTCCGTAAATAACTTGATTTACAGGACTCATCTCCTGGATCCTGGACTCATTATTCTACTGGGCCTTTCTGTTGCAACAAAGATGTTTCGAGAATATTAGCAATTTAAAATCCGGCATAATCGAAGTTCGTTTTTATGTTGGTTGAAATTTCTACGTCCTCGGTTTGAAAGTTTCATTTATTTTCAAATTTTTTTGGTCTTTTTTCCCGACATAATAGGGTTCGGTTTGTTTTAACTTGGCCTAGTAGCTTCTTATTGCGTCGTTTGATGAGCGAAAAAGTTTTTGTTAGTGTGTCTGTTCTGTGGGGGAAGGGGGACTTAAATTTTTGAGTTTTTTAAACATTTTTTTTCGGCTTGATGCGTTTCTGCTCAGCTATTTTTTTTTACCGCTTGCTTGTTATAAATTCAATCAACCATCCGGAGGCATCTGGCGTAGTGGTAAAGCAACTGCTTGAGACGGCAAAATCTTGTGGTTTGAATGCGGCAAATAATTTTTGCGCTTTTTCGGACTATCGTCCGTCTGTTTAATTTTGTTGGCTTAGTTACCATGGCCCGACTTTTTTTCAGAATATCAGCTTTGTTTGAAGTTGATGTAACATTTTTGCTGAGATGACAAAGCCGGTAGTTTCATTCCAGTCTGTTTTTTTTTGCAAACTGTAAATTTTCGGCTTGTTTTGATTATTGTCCGTCTGCTTATTTTTGTCGGCTTAGTTCCCGAGAGTGGACTTTTTGAAATTTCGGCTTCTTTCTACCATTCCCAAATCTTCTTAATTTTTACCTTTGCGATCAGCGGAGTGTATTATTAGAAACCTTCTATTTTTGTAATTTAACTCGCAAATAAAAGTGTTGATTAAAAGTTTTCACTTATTTGGAAATTTCACTGAACCTTTATAAATTGCATAGCATCTGTTCTCTGCTTTATTTGTGGCTAGTGTTTGGTACCTAGCAAGCGGCCGTGGTTGAGTGGTCAGTGTGCGAGACTCTTAATCTCTAGGTTGCAGGATTCTCAGACAAGCCGAATTTTTACTAATTCGAGGCTTATTTCTAATTTTTCTTTTTGCACTTTATAGAGCTGCTCTTGTTGTGTTCTCATTAGTTTTTGCGAAGCGTCGCTTCTGTGTTTGTTTTTGTATTGAACAGGGTGCGATGCTCAGCTTCTTCTATTTGTAATTTTTGAAGCTTGACTTCAGTATCTCAATTTCTGAATGGCTATATTCTAATTTCTGAAAGTTAAGCACGGATTCACTTTTTCCGACCCGCTTTGCTGATTTCTATATACTGTTGTTTTTTTTCCTTACGTAGATATTTCTTGCATCGTTTGTTTTCCGTTTTTTACCGTTTCTATAGGAGCGTCAGTTAGCTTGTTCTCGAATTGTTTTCGGTTTGATCTATCGAATAATTGCAGTTTGATAAATTTGTAAATTATTGAAGGTGTCAAATACAAAGCGAGAGAGATATCGCGTCTTCTCGAGTTCTCGAACGTAGTGAAGACTTTTATATAGGTCGTGATGATTATTTGTTTGTTTTTCAGGAAACGTTTTTTCGTTCAGGCTCAAAGTTGATCTTTAGCGATTTGACGTTTAAAGGAAAGCAAACTGCACTATCGAACACCAAATAGTTGAAGGTTACGAAAAAGGTGATCGACTTCTAGTTTCGAAAATAGATTTTATTCAAGATTTCCCAGCGGAATGAAAAATAACTTATTATTCTAGTTTTTTTTCTAATTCATTTAATTTTATCAAAAAAGTGACCAACATATATTTAAGTCGAGCTTTAAGACCATTGCATCGGGAGCTAGTCATGCGGGCTTGACTTAGTCCAATGAACTTTGTTACTTTGGTCGGCTGTAGCCACAGATCTCTAAGCTGGTTATTTGGGTTGCTGCGAAGGCGAAATGCAATATGGGGGCAGGATTCAAGGAAAGTTCGGGCGATTAAGGTCTATTCATTCAAGACAGGTTTTAAAATCGGACTGTAGTTATTTTAGGGAGCCTTTCCGTGGTAGAGGAGTTTTCGGGTAGGCACAACGGGAACTTATGATTTTTTTTTACAATTGACTTTGCCATCATTAATCAGTGCTCTAAAGTATTTTGCTTCAAAAATTGATCTTCAAAATGTAATTCTTCGACCATTTGAAAAATTCGGAGGAACTTGTATTCGGCTGTGCTTTAATTTTTTTTGTTTTGACGCAAAATAAGGTACTACAAATAATAGTCGGAATAGGTCGATTTATACATCATATTAAAGCCCTTGATTCGAACAACTTTTTGAAAAAAACGGGCGTGAGATTTTTTTTGATTTTTAGTCTAAATTCAAGCGAGCGAGCAAGCTTATTTATGCTTAATTTAGACCGTTTACTATAGCTCAATCATGCTTAATTTTATATTTGCTCGAGTAAAATAAGTTTTTGGAGATTTAAATGCCATTATGGGAATCAGTGTCGAGAAAAACCGGTTGAAGTTTTTTTTGATTTATGGTCTAATTTGCAGCCAAAAAATTGAGCATGTAGGCTTATCTAAGCTGAATTTAAGCCGGGGAAACTTAATTTTGATCGAGTAATGTTAGCTTCTGGGATTTTTTAGCGCCGTTTTTGGAATCAAAATATTCAAGAAAATTTTAAAAATTCTGCAAGAAAACCCGGTTTGAATTTTTTGATTTTTGGTCTATTTTCTAGCTAATAAGGTTTGCATGCAGGTTTTTTTAAGCCGTGAAAACTTGGTTTTATTCGATTAAACTTAGTTTTTGAAAAAAAATAAGAAATTTTTGTAAACATTTTTCTTTTTTTAAGTCATTTGTCTACAAAAACTGTGTTCCGATTGGCTTGTTCGACTATAACTGTCGATTGTGCCACACAGAAGAAAGGACATGAATTGTTCTATCTTTGTTTACAATTGGTTTTGATATGGGAAGTAGGTGTATGGAAATCAAGTTACGATATCAGGTGTAATTGTACCGCTTAAAGCTTGTTGCACGGTTATCAGTTTGCATACAGTTGCGTAGGTGGTCAATGGAGTTCGGACAAGACACGGAGAGCTGCTTGTAAGACCGTTTGCAATTTGATCAAGAAAGGTTTGCGGCGTGGGATCAAATTGGGCGGGCATTGTAATATTTTTCTACGAGATGCCTTGTACGTCACAAGCAACCGGTCCTGGCAGAGTTATCAACCATTATACTTACTGTCGACCCGCAAACTCGCTGCCTGATCGTGTAATTATTCATTCTACATATCGTTGTACCGCAACCACGCTACCTGATGCTGTTATCAACCATTATACATAGTGCTTACCCGAAAACCCGCTGCCCGACAATGTTCTCAAACATTATACATATTGTTGACCCGCTGCCTGATAGTGTTATCAGCCATGAGAAGCCTTGTTGACCGACGCTTGGTGTTCGCAACCATTATGGACATCGTTGACCCGCAAACCCACTGCCTAATAGTGGTTTGCTCAAAGATTGGTACTCATCTCGTATCATCTTTGAGCGAATCAAATATGAGAGTGACTATCCCTTAGAATCTATTGCTTCGAATCACGCGTGCTATACATGTCCGCTCGGCTTCTGTGTTTTGCTCTTCGAGTACGTAGGCTTTTGCGGGATCCATATTTGGGAGTTCCAAATTTGGTTGCTTTGCAGGATGTTTACTTGAGATTTATTTTTTGTACGTCTTTACCCTTGCGACTTTACCCTTTTCGGGCACAAGGGACGGTAGGACCGGTGCAACAGGTGCACCCACTATATTCGCAATCAATCAGATTCTCCTAGCCTAGGGGTCGCTAGGATCCACCCCGGCAGCTTTCGTCCCATAGTGCCCCCTATAGGGGGGACAAGGTCTCGTTAGGAGACAAAAACTAAGGGCTTATTACCCGTTAGGGGATCCGGTCACGTCAAAGATAAGTCTGCACAAAAAATGGTGCGCGAGATTCTAGTTGTTAATTGACCTGTATGGGTTGAAAAGTCATTTGTCGACTCTATTCGTGTGGCTTGTACGGAACCTGTATTTTAAAAGGTTTTACCTTTCGTTTGATTGCCTCAGGGTTGATTGCGAGTAGTTTTTAGATTTTGGGATAAATAATATAAATTTTTGGTCAGTCTTGCAGTGTTTTTGTAATACAATACACGATTATGCCGAAATTGGAATCTATCTTAACTTTTAGATTTTACGCTTTCTGGGCACAAGGGGCGCTAAGACTGGTGCACCAGGTGCAACCACTGCATTCGCAGTCAATCATTTTCTCTTGGGCAAGTAACTGCTAGGGGCCGCCTCGGGCAGCCTTTGTCACTTAGTGCTCCCTATAAGGGGGGCGAGGTTTCGTTAGGAGACAAAAATGAAGGGCTTATAACCCGTCAGGGCATCCGGCCACGTCAAGGATAAGTGTGCACAAAAAATGATGCTTGAGATTCTCTTTGCTGTTATTTGACCAATCTGGAAAATGCATTATTGGACCCCATTGTTGAAAACTCATTGGTGAACGCTGTTTCTGTGTGGCTCGTTCGGAGTCTGTCTTAGAAAAGGTAGTCCCTCTGGTTTGATGGCTTCAAAGTTGATTGCGAGTAGCTCTAATATTTTAGCAAAAATATTCCCTAATTTCGGTCATAGTCCCGAATTGTATTTATAATACAATACAGGATTCTGCCTAAATTGGAAATTTTTATTCCTAATTCCATAGACTACTGGTCAGTGGCTACTCCGCTAGGTCGACGATAGTGGTTTGCCCAAAGAGGTTGGCACTCATCTCTTGTCATCCTTGACGGAATCAAATATGAGAGTGGTCATCCTTTAGAATCTAGTGCT